CTAGTAACAGCACACTTGCACGTACTAATGTAGTTATCTAAAAGACTCACAATACATGCATGTAAATAGTCAAACAACATGCAGTGTAAATAGTCTTTAAGTTTTGTTGTCCATCCTCAACCTAACCACAGGCTCTACTCTTCACCACAACGGTAACACTACAAAACCTACATAACAGAAACCTCATATATGAATCACGATTCTGTCTTCTAACGATTCTAATAGGTTCACAAGTTTCAAAATCAATGTTCTAAAGCAGCGGTTCTTAATACCGTTTCCTCGCGTCCTCCTGCTCTGCACATGCTCTGCATCTCTCGCTCTCTCTCTCTCTCTCTCATTCAACTCAGCTCCAACAATGAACTGTTCCAATTATACACTTATTTTCACATTTGCACCCCTTCTCCAGACAGGACCGTCTGACAGTCGTTGTTTACAATACAACCGGAGCACATGCCGCTGAGGTGAGGGGCGGAACGTTTAGATGCGCACTAGAGGCAGTTTAGCCAACCACAACACATTGGGCTAGCTAACCAATCAGAGCCCATCGCCTATTTCTGAGGGCGGGGCTTCATAAAAACAGGAAAAGATCAGCCCGTTTCTCAGAGAAGGGACAGAGTGATGTGGAATAAAGTTAAATTATGTGAAAAATAACGTGTTTTTTTAAAAACTAAGCATTAACATGTTAGACTGCACCCCATAAACACAATCCAGCCTAGAAAAAAAACAGTGAACCACCCCTTTAACGCTTTAAAGACATTGAAGTATTTTTTCAAGATATTTAAAAATGTTTGCTGCATTGTTAAAATAATGCTCCTCGTATAAAATTGCGTTTTGAGAGGAAAAACATAAGTCACGTATACACGTCGCATTTTATTATTAGGCTACATTCATAAATAACATAATGTAGGCTAAAACACTGATAAAGTAAAATGTTTACAAACATTATAAACAGAGCTATTAGTTCCCTTCTCTCCACAACAAATCCTCTAAAGTTAAGGCTAGACTGACGGCTGAAGGTCTGGAATTCATGGCAGCTTTCATTGGCCAAGGCCCGCCCATGAGGCCGTTTGACCGACATGTCAAACAACCAATCACAGTTTGTTTAGTTTCAGCGTCACGCTTCGGGGCGTGGAAATGTCGCCACAATAACAGACCGGTGTGTAAATCTCTCGGACGTATTTTAAAGATTCTATGCCGCGATCTTGAAATATTTCACATACTTTTGAGAATCCAGCATTTAGTTGATCCTGATAAGCGCTCATCGTCACAGTTGTAAACACGACGGCTTTCTTCTTTCGTGAGGGGGTTTGGCGCCACGGCATCTTTGTTTCCAGGTGGAACGTTAAAGAACGCGACACAGACGTCTCCCGGAAATCCTGTATAATTCAACCAATCCGATGACGACTTCGAAACTCCTGAAGTGTTTCCACTTTTGTGTGCCGTATGCATCAGACGTTTAGCCAACGGTCCGTGGACGTGACGTCTAAGGCTGAGACTAAGTTAAGGCTATAAAGCGTTTAGGCTATATAAACATCAAGCTAAAAACAAATTAATTTAAGGTAAAGCTGATGCTTACCTCTCTCATTCGGCATGAATCCAAATGTTTCCATATTTGCGACGTATTTGGATGCTAAAATATTATTTATGTAATAGGCTTTGTACTTCACTCAGACTTTGTACTTCCAGCGCTGGTCACGCTGAATGCAACGGATTGTACAATGGAGCAGTCTAACTTTTTCTATGTTTCTTTAACTGTATTTTATTTTGATAATGAACAGGCTGCAATGTCGCAAAAATATGTTGTGTCTGTGTGCATGTGGGGCACTGGTGCGATATAGTCATACCAACGCTGGTTGCACAGATAGAATCATTCAAAACTATCAAGCTTTTGCAAAATAAATAGGCCTAAAACCGTAAAGCTTTTGCAAAATAAAGAAAACTTCTTTCTGCCGTTTTGTTTTCCTTTCCGGGATCTTTGAATAGCGTCACAAACCGAAACGAAGCACATTTTTTCTTTCGTTTTGTTAATCTGTTAATGATTTTAGTGAAATATATTTTGTGTATAGGCCTATATATTCCTTGTTATGTTAGCCTATAGTTTTATTCTGTTTTCTCCCTTCACAGTTCGCGCTGCAGGTGCGTGCATGTGATCTGTTGAATCCATCTTACACTATCCTCGGATAAACTCTAACGCCGGTGCATTGCCATTGCGACTTACCTATGATGAGTTCACAGCTGAGCGCGGGCATTTCACTCGTTGGATGCGTCAGCATCACATTTGCATAGGCCATACTACTGGAATTCGTGATTGGTTGTCAGCAAATTTCAAATATTAAATGGAACGATAAAATAACACTATTAACCGGTTAATGGCCATTTCAAATTTTCGATTCTGTTCGGAACTATAAAATTTGATGAAACTATAAAAATTTCCATTTCCGTTTCTGTTCCTGTCAAAATTTCGTTTGTTCCTTGAACTGATTCAGAGCCCTGGTGTACTATCTACTTATGTTGTCATAAGCTATAAATAAGACTAATAAGACAAATCATTCTGGGGCTGCAGAAGCACAGCTACCTCCATTGTTGTCAATGGCACTATATTTACAAGAAATCCCCCAAACCATGTCGAAGAATCAGTGATATACAGGAGCAAACAGCCACCTCAGTGCTTCAGGACAGATTCCTGACTGTACTTGAACGGTCCTGCCATGGCTTTAAGCTGAACACCATCAATAATGACAGACAGTAGTCCACATTCAATCAGACAGAGAAACAGCTCAAATCCCAGTGGGCTGTCTGCTAGAAGAAACAAGACAACTCAATGCTGCAATCACTGACAAAGTCGTTGCTATAAAGTGCTGCATGAAAAGCCTGAATACATATAAGAGGCCCATTTTTAGGGGTCTAAATACTTTCTGAAGACATTGGATGTTTTACACCATCTTGAAAATGACACACATCTGCTTGCTGTAGGGAATAATTTACAGCTTCTTCGCTACATATTCTAGCAGAACGGTTGTTTTTCTGGCTGAAGTTCTATTTTGCCTATTTTCCATTATATTTTAAGAGTCAAAGTCTTTTTTTTTTCATTTTCTGCATGAAGGAGAGAAAGTACAAAATAAAATACAATATTCTCTCTGACCAGAAGAACAAAACTCTCTTTCTCCTGGATGCCTTTACAGAAAGAACGAAAGGAGAAAAACAATGACAGTGAGAGAAATGGAATAAAGGAATGAAAGGTATAGGAAGGGAGCAGCAGGGAAAGAGCAGGACTAGCTTGTGCATATGCTGTTTTAGCTTATGGTGAAAATATGCCGACAGAGGAAAAGATCTTGCTGTCCCAGGTACAGTACGCCAAACACAATGTGTTCTAAGCAGTAAATTGTCAAGTCAAAAGACAATTTTATTTGCATATCACTTTTCACAATACACACAGAGTCAAAGCAGCTTTTCAGAAATGTATACAAGTTAATGTTTATAACACCTTAATGCCTAATAGTCCACATTTAGCAGCTGTGAAATAGGTTAAATTTAATTTAATTTAAAATAATAATTAATTATTATTTATTATGTTCATTTATTTGATTTAAAACGTACAATTTCTATACAAAAAAATAAAACATTAAAAAGTAGTGGAAAAAAATAATTTCAAAATGTTCAGATGCACACTTCCTAAATGCAGTCCTCGTGGTCGAATCCATTGATGTATTACATGCAAACAGTTTGGTTAAAGAAAAAAAAAAAAAGACTGACTTGGTTACTACCTGAACCAAGGTAGGCAATCCAATGAAAAAGTCTGATAAAAATACATTTTTTGACAAAATTCAAACTGGCAACATCCAACCATGTGAAAACTTGGTATATATAAATATATATATATATATATATATATATATATATA